ACAAGCAGGCAGCTTAAGTGCACCCGGATTTTAATTATACGAGTATGTTGGTACACAATTCATATCTTAAAAAAATACAAACACTCTGCACTGAATCAATACAAAAAGCTTTTTTTTTTACGTTTGACATCAATGTCAATTTCATACAGTTTTTATGAGGTGCTGAGCTTAGGCAGTGACTGCAGCCTCTGGTTCAAGTTCAGTATATATCACTTCTGCTTCACCTCCAGTTTTTAACAACTAAACTGTTTTCTTCAGCTGCAGAGATGTCAGCTTTGATTTCTCCTTCTCTCTTTAGGTTTTATTGAGTTGTTCTACTTAATTCGCTGTTTCATCACTGATCAATGTTTTATCACTGTTTTATCTTGAAAACTGAACAATTGCCTAACCTCTTTTTTTATGTGAACACAGGGACCCCTGAGGTTTACTGGGTGTAAAAAGGAAAAAAGTCTGAAAGGCTGCTCACAATTTACACCTCTTGAATGCCGACCTCTTCTCCTCAGCGCCGTTTATAAACGGGAGCCGGTGTACAGTGTGAAAAGATTCACATCTTAAAACCAAGGATGCTTTCCCCATTTTCCCGAGGTAGGACACAAGTCAATATCTAGCCTGAGGTTATTTAATTTAGACAAGCAGTTTGATTCATACATTAAAATTTCCAATTACCTGTCAAGAGTTGAGTGAACCCTGAGGAGGCTGTTTTAATCATACAGCTTTATCAAACTCTTTAAATTGAGTTTAACGGGGATAGGATCAAACATTCTGCCTCAGGGAAGGTGATATCCCTTAATTTGGTGAAAATAGTCAACATTTTGAAAATCCATGTTTCACCACATATACATAATAAATCTTTGATCCTTTCCTTTCCTTCTCCGTTGACTGATCTAATTCATGTAGTTGTTAGAATGCATCTTGAAGAACTGATAAAGACCCACAAGGGATCATTTCATACAGGCCCAGTGAGAAGTTTACTTAATTCTCATCATGGGATGAATATCATATTAATTTAGGGCTTTTAGAGGCAATTGAACTGTTCTTTCCCCGAGGCTGAAAGGATAATAAAACAAGTAAAATAACAGAGGTGGAACAAAGTCACAAAAAATAAATAAACCTTTATGGGGCCTGACGTCGAAGTCTCAATGTTTCAAATGTCTAACTAATCCTAATCAGCTATCCATGAAACACAATAAACAGAACGTCTCAAAGCATTAAAGTTAAACTTCTTTATTTAAATCTTTCAGCCCTGCAATTTTTTAGGATGTATCCTATATTTAGCTCGACTTTTTTGATATAACCGAGTCAAGTTTTAAGTCATCATGTCTGATTCGAGCCAAATTAGTGTCATGATGTTGGCTCTGATGACTGGCTTAATTATTCATTCCATTCACCTGTCCAACACTGCCCGGTTTCTAATCACTGCTCATTTCACTCACCTGCTCCTGCCTCTATTTAAGGTGACTGCATCTAGTTATCAGGGCCAGTTTATCTTGTTCTCTCATGCCAGTGGTGAAAGGGTTTTTAGCGTTTCCTTCCTACCATCTGAACAGTTTGTCTGAACGAGGGGTGTCAAAGTGGTTCCAGGAAGGGCCATGTGGCTGCAGGTTTGCTTTCCAACCAAGCAATAGCACACCAGACTCCAGTCCTTCATTAAGTAAGTCCACTCTTAACATGATGACTTGATGAGATGAATAGAGTCTGGTGTGCTATTGCTTGGTTGGAAAGAAAACCTACAGCCACACGGCCCTTTCTGGAACCAGTTTGACATCCCTGGTCTAAACTGTCTTTATGCTCCTGGACCTCTGAGCCTTACTCTTCTAATCTTTTTGCCTGACCTGGCTTCGGAGTCCTGCTGGTTCTCATTTCTATGGGGCTGCAGGGCCGGAGACGCACTGGGTGGCGCCCATCACATCTTGTTGGCAGCCCACCGGCTGGATCCTACTCGCTCTCAGGACTCGGGGTGAACTGTTAAACCAGGTTAACGACTCACTCGTTCACGTCATCCTCCGTTGGATATACGTGGTCACTAACCTGTGTTTCCTTTTACAGGTAGACACTCCAGCTACTGAAGCGCAGACCTGTTTTTAAATAAACGCTTTTCATTTATCCCACTGTGTGTGTTGCCTCGAATATTGGGTCCTCTGTTCTGAGTCAATACAGTAAGAGATGCTCTAAGCCAACGACGATACAAGCAGACTTGGAAAAAAGCATTCAGTTTTTTCAAAATGTGTCTAAATGAGGCTGTCCCAAAATTGGGGGATCTGGAAAGCTAATTACATGCTAATTAAACAATCTCAATGCTAAGCTAATAAATAGCTAACCTAAAAATCAATAGAAGTATCAGTAAGTTCATTATTTCAACTGCAACTCTCTTCAGAGACATTTATGAGAGAGAGCCATTGTTACACACCACAACGACAGAGCTACCGTTGTCAGTTCTTCTGCATGACAATATTTTTCAATAGTTGTTTAAACTTCGAATGTAGTGCACTAGTTAAACAGCAGGAGGTGCTGCACAGATGGCTTTAGATCCCAAAAAAGTATTTCAACAAAAATGACAGCACTATGAGGCATCTACATATGGTTTGTTAGCAAACAAAGAGGTCAAGAGGTGAAGTAAACACTCAGTGACTGCTAAGCATCAAATAAAGTTTTTCTGCTATTCAAGTTAAAGGATGGAAATAATCAGAATAGAAAACAGGAATATAATTAAACAAAAAACTCTGCTTTATTTTATTGGCTGATTTTTAAAGAGGAACATATGTCCATACTTCTTTGTGCAAATAAATATATAAGTAAACTAAGTATGAATCTAAGTATATTGATCATTATATCCAACACTCTTTCCTAGGATGACTTTGAAGACAGATTATAAATATAAGGACAAAATTAAAGCAAATGAACAAAAAACTGGTTCTAAAATGGATATAGCAGATTAAAATTAGGCTTCTGGGATCCCTGACCTTAACCCATCACAAATGTATGGTCTGTGCTTAAAGCCCAATCTATTCCAGGAAACTAAGGAGTTTAAATAATCACTATTGTGATAATAGAATTCCCAGATAGCAGATTATTTGTGCAACTCTGTAAGGTGTTTATCGAAAAAATTCACAATCTTTTATGTATAAATTAGACTCTCTGGATCAAAGAAGATTCATCATAAAATTAAACTAAGGCACCTGAATATTGTCTTATCATCTACCACTAAAAGTTAACTATTAAATGCTTAATCAGTACCCATAAATAGTATGTTTAAATGTATATACCAACTGTAAATGTTTTCCTTAGTCCTCATTATTCTCCACTTTGACAAAATCTTATTCAACTAGTGATTTCCATTTGCTTTACTAGTGAAACTGATACCTTTCACTGCAAGAAAGTAGTTGTTTTGAGAAATTCTGGAATTGTAAACAGATTTCTTAACTGACTCTTTTGGGTTCCCCTTTTAAACACAACTAAAGTACCATCAGGTTTTTGAGAGATTAAATAAAATAACTACTTTAAGCTGAATATTTGCTTTAATCTCTCAGAAACCTTAGAGTATAATAAACTTTAGCTTCAAAGTTCTTTAAAAATATAAAATGCATAGAAAAATAATATAATGGAATAAACACAATATTTATTTTCCCTTGGCAGGACAATTCATGTGGACATTCGTATAATGTTAAACAACAACAACATAAATAATGAACAAGGATCCATCTATTATATTCTAGCAGTTATTTAAAGTGGATTTTTTTTCTGAATAATAACTTTACATTTTAGAAAATGTACAACACAATTAATGATTGTAAATATATCAAAAATATTTTAATGATATTTCACACATTTAGCCTAATATTTTTCAAATTAATAAAATCAGTATCAAAGTCTGTGATTGTTTGTGGGGTTTTCTTTATAAGTAATGTTAATAGTATTTAATTAAACTGGTACATAAAGGTTTTGTTGTTTTTCAGTAGGTCTGAAGTTGCTTTAGAGACGCATTGACCAAAAAAAAATTTTTTTTCAAAACAGACATTTTTGTCCTTAATGACTTCAAAAGATAGAAATTTAAACTAACTATGTTCAGGATTTTTATAAAATCCAAAGGTAATTCCTTCCACAGTCAGATTAATTATTATAGTAAAGAATATCATAAGATATATATGATTTTTTATGTTGCTCATCCCATTCTTATATTTCTCGTGTACTTTGACAAATACTATGTACTTTATTTCCTCCTGTTCCTTCAAATAACGTTATGGTCAAGTCTAAAACCAACATATACCTCATCTGCAGGTGGTCACAGCTGGACCCCCTGTTTTACCATTTCTGAATCCATTTCACAAAGAATATTACTGAGATCTGAGCTGCTGGAAGATATTTTCCATTCTGTCTCATCAGTGGCAGGAATGATGTCTGGCATGGCAAACAGAGTAAGTGTAAGCTCCCTAAATAAAGCATGAAATTGACAGGATGCCCGTCTAAGTGAGGAAAGCACACAGCCCGCGGCCCCTTAAGAAGGACGCAGGTACAGCTGCTCACCTCCAGGCTTCACGCCTTCCATTTGGACTTCCATTAAAGCGCCCAGCGCTCTCTGAGTCAACACTTTTAATGCAGAAAATGACTTTATTTTCCATTATAAGCACCATATTAAAAGATCTGCCTACACAAAGAGCTGCTAATTTTTTCCACCCCTCCACAGAGACATTTGCATACATTGGACCACTGAAGACGGAAGAATTTTAGCCCATTTCAGTGATTTGGTCATGGTTGTGTTCAAGTGAGGGATAGAAAAGAGTAAGCAATTTACTTCACCATGAGTCTGCTTTCAAAACCTTGTTGGGAAAACCTGACACGTAGCACATATATTACCTCGCAGATGATTTGGTGACTGACGTGTATATTGATGAAGATTTATGTCTCCACATTTAAATGTGGGGGTGTGATTGTCAACGTGTGGGTCTGGTTGTGCAAAACAGAAGTTAGGTGCAACAGATATTTCAGAGAAGCTTCTGACTCACCAGGGAACTGGTAGCTATAGCTGGGTGCAAATCCAGTGTATCCGCGGCCATACGTTGCCACGATGTTAGGGTAACCTTTGTTAGGGAAACAGATAAAAAAAAAAGGTGAGAAAACAGTTTAAAACATACCAAAACACACACTATTATAGTGTATACAAATAATACAGTATGTTGCAGAACATTGCAAAATTATTTACATCCCGTTGAAAATGGTAATGTTTCAAGCTTTTGGAATTAAAGGAATTAAAACAAGAGATGAAGACAAGGATGTTAAAGGAAAAACATTCTGGTTTTATAACATTTTGCTGTTAAAAAAAGGTAACTCTGCCAGTAAGGTCAGAGTTGTCCTCCAACTTAATACCAAGTCATTTAGAACCTGTTTCTTCAAAAAATGCTTGAAATTCATCAATATTATTTTTTCTGATCTGATTGGTTATCCTGCTGAAGTAAAACCATTCCCACATCATAATGCTGCCACCACCGTGTGTCATAGATTTTGTGTACTCAGGGTTATAAGCAGTCTGAAGCCACAAGGCCAGAAGCAATCTTTGTTGTATATATGTAAGTCATTAAGTACATACACTATATTGCCAAAAGTATTTGCTCACCTGCCTTGACTCACATATGAGCTTAAGTGACATCCCGTTCCTAATCCATAGGGTTCAATATGACGTCGGTCCACCCTTTGCAGCTAGAACAGCTTCAACTCTTCTGGGAAGGCTGTCCACAAGGTTTAGGAGTGTGTTTATGGGAATTTTTGACCATTCTTCCAGAAGCGCATTTGTGAGGTCGCACACTGATGTTGGACGAGAAGGCCTGGCTCTCAGTCTCCGCTCTAATTCATCCCAAAGGTGTTCTATCGGGTTGAGGTCAGGACTCTGTGCAGGCCAGTCAAGTTCATCCACACCAGACTCTGTCATCCATGTCTTTATGGACCTTGCTTTGTGCACTGGTGCACAGTCATGTTGGAAGAGGAAGGGGCCAGTTCCAAACTGTTCCCACAAAGTTGGGAGCATGGAATTGTCCAAAATGTCTTGGTATGCTGAAGCATTCAGAGTTCCTTTCCTTGGAACTAAGGGGCCAAGCCCAGCTCCTGAAAAACAACCCCACACCATAATCCCCCCTCCACCAAACTTTACACTTGGCACAATGCAGTCAGACAAGTACCGTTCTCCTGGCAACCGCCAAACCCAGACCCGTCCATCAGATTGCCAGATGGAGAAGCGCGATTCGTCACTCCAGAGAACGCGTCTCCACTGCTCTAGAGTCCAGTGGCGGCGTGCTTTACACCACCGCATCCGACGCTTTGCATTGCACTTGGTGATGTATGGCTTGGATGCAGCTGCTCGACCATGGAAACCCATTCCATGAAGCTCTCTGCGCACTGTTCTTGAGCTAATCTGAAGGCCACATGAAGTTTGGAGGTCTGTAGTGATTGACTCTGCAGAAAGTTGGCGACCTCTTCGCACTATGCGCGTCAGCATCCGCTGACCCCGCTCCGTCAGTTTACGTGGCCTACCACTTCGTGGCTGAGTTGCTGTCGTTCCCAAACACTTCCATTTTCTTATAATACAGCTGACAGTTGACTGTGGAATATTTAGGAGCGAGGAAATTTCACGACTGGATTTGTTGCACAGGTGGCATCCTATCACAGTTCCACGCTGGAATTCACTGAGCTCCTGAGAGCGACCCATTCTTTCACAAATGTTTGTAAAAACAGTCTGCATGCCTAGGTGCTTGAATTTATACACCTGTGGCCATGGAAGTGATTGGAACACCTGATTCCAATAATTTGGATGGGTGAGCAAATACTTTTGGCAATATAGTGTATGTAAGTAAATTTCATCACAACCTGAAGAGACACAAGGGGCGATAATGAGGCAATTAGAGAGTTTATTGACATGAATGAATAAGTTTTGAAGTTTTGATGGTTACTTGAATTATTTTTTCACTTAAAAAAAAAAAAAAGAATGGAGCCAAAATGAAAACACATTTTGGGAAAAAAATTCTGATTTGGCCAATATCTTCCTCACATGACTGATAAGCTGGTGTGCTTAAAGCAGCATCTGTATCACACATTTCTCAGTGTCTCCAGATTGAATGATCCATCACTAATGCTAGCTGACATGATAAAGTAAGTAAAACCTGCCTGATTACAGAAAATGTATTATAACCATGGTCCATCACTGATGTGTGGTCATGCTCGCTTCCTAACTGTACTTCCTGTTTACTACAGCCAAGTGTAATGTCTATAAATAACATATAAAAAAGATGGCTTTGGGCTCAAGCCACACCCAAAAAATATTGTTCTACATTCCTAATTTGGATTGGAATAGAGTCTGTTATATTGACGTTGGTACAGATCTGAATAGAAATGTGGAAATAATAGGTAAACATTTGAAACCCCTTGTTAATTTGCTACAACAGATGGAAACCCATCTATATCACATTTTCTTAGATTTTTTTTTTCTTTTAAAGTTTTGCTCAAAATTGGAATCACATTAGGATAGAAACTGAACTATATTCAAATTCAATTACACAGAGGGGATGTTTTTTCTACCAGTTGGCTGATTTATAGAGAAAAATGTTTGCATTAGGTTAGTTAATGCTTATCAAAGTAAAGAGTGTGTGAAAAACCAGAAGGGGTGGGAATACTTTAGCAAACCATCAATAGCCTTAGGGAATCAGACCTAGATGGAACCCTAAAAGGTTTTCCTGTTATCTCCATTTTCTCAAAATTACATGTTTCAGTTAAAATGAGTGTAGCTCTGCAACCACAAGGTCTATTTGAATATATTCAGGGTGAAAGTAAAGAAAACACTTGTGAGATTTATGGGGTGTGTGAATATAAGCATATATGTTACTGATGAAGGGTAAATGAAGATAGCACAGCAACATTTCAGACTTCCTCTAAAAAACATTTTCAGCATTCACAACTCTCTGAAATGATACTTTGGAAGCAATTACTCTCTTTTAAACTAAAGTACAATATGTTGACATTGTTTTTGCAAAGCCGTCCAATTCCAAACTGAAACTAAACAGAATTGCAGAGCTTTTTTATTTACAAAAAAAATCAGGTGAGATTTCCAAAATGGCCAATTGGCACAGTTGTCCTGATCTGTGTTAATATGCATTTTTTCATGTAGAAACATTTATTTTTCACATCTGGATCACTAGTAATGATGAGTAGAGTTGAACGCAAAAGTTTTGGACAACGATTAGAAAATTCAACAGTGCACCCAAACACACATCTGCAGCCTCACATTTTCACAGTACCTCGCTACATGTGGGTGCGCAGAGCCATAATACCGCAACAGACTGATTAATTTTGACGAATCATACATCATTTAAACTGTTAGAGACAGTTAAGTTAATCTAGAGGAAAGATTGACATTAGTTTCAGCCAATCAGAGCAAGCCAAAAGCATTCTGTTAGCTTGGTCAGGCACCTGAATTGGTGGCTTGTGAAAGCTACTTCTGGATGCTAAAGACGTGTAGATACACCCAACGTGTTTTCTTTAATGTGATAGAGATCCCTTTTAACCGACCATGTGTGGATTTAGTGGTAAAACAGACTTTTTTAAAGCTAGTTTCTAGCTAAGCAGTTTCATCTTTTGCCGTTTATTGCCTGCAATGCTATGGTGTAGAGGAAGTGAAGCATATAACTGAATTCTACACTGCAAAAAAATTAAATATAATTAATAATTTTTCTTTATATAAGTGCATTTTTTTCCTTTAATTAAGGATTTAAGTAAGACACTTTGCCAATGGAACAAGTCAATTTACACTTAAAATAAGAAAAAAACAGTTGCATTGTCTTATTTCAAGTGCATAATATCTAGATACCTTATTTTAAGAGTAAAAATACTCCTTCCATTGGCAAATCATCTTATTTACCTGCTCAAACTAAGGGTAAATACCCTTAATTTAAGACATTTTTACTCATTTTGAGATTGTTTTTGCAGTGTACGGAGTCGCTGCTTTCATTTGATGTGTATTTTGTGGTGTTCTGATCCTGGGTTGTGGCTGTGGGGAAAGAAATGTTTATAAGTTGCTATTGTGTGGTGTATTTACATTTTACATCTTTTATTGCATTTGAGCATTACTTTAATTATGTTTTGCACATTTTAAAAAGATTTTTGTTGGCTTGTAGCCTAATTTCTACAGTTAAATTTGATATGATACATTGCTATATTCTTTGATATTAATGTATGGTTTATCACTGTTGTTATTGTGTAACTATAATGAGGTACCTTAAATGGTTTCAAAGGGTTAAACAATGACTTAAATAACCCTAACACAGATAACACAGAATTCTTCTTACAGTCTAGAGTTGCTGTCCTCATTTGAAATACAGCAACAAGCAAGGAGAGATTTATTTGTGTGCTTTAAACCTAATAAAGCATTGTTGACTGAAAAACATTCCTTCTAAGCTGAGCTTAACAACAAGCAGCTCCTCAATCACTGCTTCTCTTTCACAAACATGTCAGCCTCTAATCACAATCACGCTACCTTAGTTGCTTTGGCCGAAATCTCTGAACTACTGTCACAGATCGTAGTGATTAATTTAGTCAGTAAAATTTTACAAGGATAACTATAAAACTGGAGCCTACTCTTTTCTTTCAAGAAAGGAAAATATGATCATTTAAAACCCAACTATTAGTGAATGCATAAATTCTTTATGATCTTACTAAATTTATACATTTCTTTCCCAAAACTGGAGCTTCAGAACAGGTTTTGATGTTTTTATGCTCATGTATTCTCATCTCCATGCATACTTTTGTTTACATCTTTACAAAGGCTGGTAATTGAGAGCTGCAGTCGCATTTGTTATGGTTGGAAAACAATGTTCAAATATGACTACTCTTCTCTTTTTTAAATGGCAAGTTCATTTCCAGTCTTTTGTTAACCACAAGCTCTCAGGCATTTTTATAGCACCATGTAATAACATTTTATAGCCGGCTCCTGGAAATGATGCAGCACCACTGCAGAAAAGGTTCACGTTTAAATATGGATAGATATTTATTTGAAGTGAAATCACCTGACATTTAGATCTAATTTAGTTTTATTTTTTGA